CATACATACATACATATATTATATATATAATATATTAGTATATATATTAGATATATATTATATTATATATATATAATATAATATATATAATATATATATATATATATATATGTATATAATATATATATACATGATATATATATGTATTATAGCATATATAGATATACTATTAATATATACTATATATATATATATATATATTATATAATATATATATATATAATATATACATGTATATATATAATATACATGTAGATATATATATATATACATGTATTATAGTATATATAATGTATAACATGTATATACATGTATATTATATATATATACATGTGTATATATATATTACTATATATATATATATAGATATATAGTATAAACTGTAATAGATATATTAGTATACATATAATATATATATATATATATATAGTATATATTATATATATATATATATAGTATATCATATATATATATATTAATAACTATATATATATACATATTATATATATATATATATACATTATATATATATATAACATGTATTATATAATATAGTATATATATATAATATATACATTATATATATATACTATATATATATATATTACATGTAATAGATATATATATATATAATATATATATATATATATACATAATATATATAGATATATAATAAATATATATATATATATATTATTATATATATATATATATATACACACACATATATAGAGCTAATATTCACTTAAGTGGATAGGAGCTATTGGCCAACTATTTTTATAGCCGCTTGATTTAACCAATGAGATGAAGATCTAATCAAATAAACTCTATCCTTTAATTATGGAAGGGTAGTTTGGTATTATAAAAAATGGCAAAATGGTCAGATTGGTACATTTTGTAGACACTAAGTGACATATTGATATCAATTTTTTAATTTTTGTCAATTTGGTATATTATGTAGCCTCCGGTCCCACATAACCCTTAAGTTTGGCCGGATTGATTTTTTCGGCCAGTTTTCTCACGCGACGGCTCACGTGATGCCCAATTGGCATGATTTTTTGTACAAAACCCCCTCATTAAATAACCCATCCTGCTCCTAAACCCCCCTCCTCCTCCTCCTCTCCCTCCTTCTCCTCATCCTCTTCAACTTCTTCCCATCACCCACGCCCGCTAGCTCAGGAAGACCCTCCATCTGATTACCACAGATTCCACATACCTTCTCGTTATTCCCCACTGATCCCTAAACACATCTTAGTATGAGTTCTTCTCATTCTCAAGCTGTCTCCCTTTGTTCCAGTGATAAGATAAGCTATCCTCGGTGGCTCCGATTCCAAAACTGGATTCTCATCCAAAGACTTCATAGGGTTTGAATCCAATGCATATCCATCAGAATCATCCAAACCAGTGAATAAAATTATATCCAACGACAAAGAATGTCCATTGGTTGAGGTGAGAAAATCCCAAAAACTATGTCTTAGAAGAAGGTTAGAGATACCATTAAGCTAGCAAAGAAGGGGAGGAGCCATCGTTTTGTCACTAAATGGTCTCCCTGAGTGATTTTCCCCATTTTTCCTCATAATTCTTCGATACCCAGATTCAAATAAATCATTTATAGCGTTAATCTCTTGAAAAGCTAACACCAAAAATTAAACATGGAGACCAATTTCAGCTATAATCACTACCACATATTTGCTCTAATGCAACAGTTCAAAACCGTTGTGCTAGATATGGAACCGTCGTCCTTGAGCAAGTGTGACGGTTCTCAAACCGCCTCATATGCTGCCGTTGCCCTACCTCTACCGTAACGGTTTTGAACTCTATTGCGATGGTTTTTTGAACCGTTGCCCCCGCATCTAACGCAACGGTTTTAAAAGGTAAGCGGTTTTTAAGCCATTGCAATGGTTTTGATTGAGCTATTGCGACGGTTTTTAAGCTATTGCAGCGGTTTTGATTGAGCTATTGCGACGGTTTTCAAGCTACTGCAGCGGTTTTTTTAGATATTACAACAGTTTTAAAAGACCTAACGCAACGGTTTTAGTAGGCTAAAGCTATGATTTTGATAGAGCTACGGCAATAGTTGGAGCTATTGCAACAGTTTTAAAAGACGTAACACAACGGTTTTAGTAGGCTATAAGTATGGTTTTGATAAAGCTACGGCGACAGTTGGAGCTATTGCAACAGTTTTAAAAGACCTAACGCAACAGTTTGGATTGAGCTATCGCAGCAGTTTGGATCGGAGCTATCGCAACGGTTTTAATCGAGCTATTGCAACTGCTCAATCGAAGCTGTTCTTGGTTTCCTACGTCAAAATAATTATAGTATTCAATTACCTGGACAATCTTTTTAAGAACATGGCCAAGTCAAATTTTAATACACAATATAAAAGTGATTATGTTGAGCATAATCAATCATAATGATAAGTGCCAACATACATTAGTATAGTATAAAAACTACAAAGTATTAAATCCACACTACCAACATTTCAACTCAGAAAATATCGTACCGAACTAACATTCAAACAATGTACATCAACATTTGATTACAAAACATGAAACTTCTCGGTCAAAGACTATATTCTTTATTTGTTTCCAAAAACTTGTTCCTCAATGTCAAATACTCACTAGGAACCTGTCAGTATCAATCTCAATCTTGGCTTTCCACTACCACATATTTGCTCTAACGCAACGGTTTAAAACTGTCGCATTAGCATCTAAACCGTTGCAGTTGCTCAAGCGCAGCGGTTATCAAACTGTCTTCATTGCTGTCGTTGCCCTAGACATAAGGCAGCGGTTGCAAAACCTAACGCAACGGTTTCTAAGACAAGGCTAACGCAACGTTTTTCACAAAATGCAACGTTTTTTGTAGCGGTTTACTGATGCCTAATGTAGCGGTTCCATACACAAAGGCAACAGTTATTACAAATGCAACAGGTTTCGACGATAGTTTCTTGATACCTAATGTCGCGGTTTCGTACACAAGGGCAGCGGTTTTTCCAAAATCAGGGACCAAAGGCAACAGTTGTTTTGTAGCTAATGCAACGTTTTGCTTTGCTATGGCAACAGTTTTATAAGGCTACAGCAATAGTTTTACAGGTCTACGGCAACAGTTTTATAGGGCTATATCAGTACTTTTCAAGAAATTTGACCAATAATCAAACACAGTTACGTAAACCAAAATAAAAATGGAATAAGAACACACTACATTAAGATATCATCAAAATGAAAAATAATGAAGCATTCATATGTTTTAAGCCCATCATTCAAAAATAAGTAGTTACAAGATAACTTCAACCCATCAAAATATGATCAATTCACAACCATCAAAATATGATCAATTCAAAAGTACAAGTCTGTTCCAAAAGATTCATATATCAAAGTCATCTTGACCGCATTCTCCTATTTAAGTCTTTATATCCCCTACAAAAAATAAAGAAACGTATCAAATATCATGTTAGCAACAAACTGAAAAGGTAATTTTTTAAACTAACCATTACAAGGAAAAAAAAGCTCAAGTAACATTGGTAAATAAGGAGACAATTGATCCTCAGATGGCTACAGTTTCTCTTTTATATTAAAAAAGAGAGAGAAAATCACTCACCTACATCAAAACCTCTTCCATTTGAGCAAAATAGTGGCTACAGTTTCTTCAAAGTCCAAACCATGATCCTCAGATTCACAATTTACTGCAAAGATAAAATATTGTTTAAACATCTGAGTCTCTCTTTCAATGAGCTATTAACAGAAGAGCAAATAATCCAAATGCTGTAGCAAAGAGAACAAACAGAAGGAGCATCAGAAAAAGGAAGAATCACAAATATTTTAAAGGAGCTTGCTTCCAGAAGGCTATAGCAAAGAGAATAAACAGAAAAAATAGAAATAAACCAAACATAATCCTGACTACCAACATGAATTATCAAGAGCACCACCAAAAAATTAAAACCTGAAATGATAATATCAACCCCACATGGAAAAACACAACATAGAGACCAAATGCAATTTTGAAGCGAGCTTCAGAAAGCTTTTTCAAACACAAGGACAACCTGTATACATTGTAAAAGCTCAAGAAGAATTTAATGAGAAACCAGCATACCTTTATGGTAAGAAATCTGAAGTCATGCTCGTAGCTTTGAGTGTACCTGCAAAAAACAAAAAAGTTCACAAATAAAGGAGTAAAAATCTACAAGTTCACAAGTGAAGTACGTAAAAACCCATAGACTAATAATATGTGGCACATGCTGAGAAGAGAAACCGGATTTTGAATAACCACCTTCAATAACAAAATTTTCTTTAAGTTAATTGAACTATGAACATAGACCTATAAAAGTGATTATGTTGAGCATAATCAACCATAATGATAAGTGCCAACATACATCAGTATAGTATAAAAACTACAAAGTATTAAATCCACACTACCAACATTTCAACTCAGAAAATATCGTACTGAACTAACATTCAAACAATGTACATCAACATTTGATTACAAAACATGAAACTTCTCGGTCAAAGACTATATTCTCTATTTGTTTCCAAAAACTTCTCGGTAAAAGTGTCAAAAGAATTTAACTCCCTGGTCTACTTGCAACAAGGTAGCTACAGGGGCAGTAAGTTCAACAAGTTGGTTTTTTTTTAGGGAGTGCCGGGGGGGGTCTATGTGCAATTAATCCATATTCTTTTAAAGGAAAAGATTACATGGGGACTTTGATTACGAACAAAGGTTTATGCAAATTTATTGGCAACGGTACAATAGAATTTCTTCCATGACTAAAATAGTGATAAGCAAAAAGGTAGGGTAAATACCCTGCAACTTGGTCATTAAAATACCATGGCCTCCATAAATCTACAATCTTATATCCCATTAATCTAGTCCATGCTTCACTTCCAGTAAAAGGCACACACATGTCATGGTCACCGCTGAGTCAAAATGTGAAAATAGAAAGATCACCATTTGATATTACACAATCTAAATACAAATTAGACTCACCTTCTCATTGGTAAAGTGAATACTGTGTTTTTAAAATGAATGTTTCTTGAATTAATAAAATAAATATTGTGTTACATCTAAAGGAAACAAACTAATTAAAGGAATACCTGAAAATAAGTGCACGATATCCTAAGGAAATAAGGTACTTGTGATACTTGATCATGCTTCCAACATTATGAGTAAATATCTAGTTTATCGGTTGTGCATGAATTGCAGTCCTCACAGCTTCATTGTTCAACCATACAGTTGCAACTCGGTCATCCTGTGGTCTTGCATAATCAGCTTACTTTTAAAGTGATACTTCGTTTGAAAATTTAAGGAGTATAAAGAAATTGCTTTGAATTTGATAAGGAGAAAAACATTTATGCTAACCACCATTTTTACAAGACACAAGAAGGAAGGGTAGCTATTTTTTCAGTCAAAATAGCTTTTAAACAAGCTTTTTCATATGTACATGTTTGGTAACATCCCAAATATGCTAGCTTTTAAGTTCTATTTAAAAAAGTTCAGATTTCTCAACTTTTCAAAAACTAGCTCATAAATTATCTGAATAAGCTAGGCTTAACCAAGCAAATAACTATTCTACCTAGAACATCCACCACTAGCTAACATAGCTTAAAAGCTCCCAAACTTTGTCGTACTTACTGTGCATAGAGGTTTTCTGCGTCCCAGCTCTGTCCATGTTGGAACACGTCCAGCTCTAACCGTAGCTCTTAAAGGCCATGAGCGGCCAAACATTCTCCTCCTCACATGCAGCGGTCTATCGGTCTCCCCAAGCCTTCTGAAACTAGAAGGCAGCCTGATATCATCAGCTGAAGGATATCTTATTTCAGGATGATGGTAGCATGGCTCAAGAACGTCGTAGATAGTTAAATCCTTAAGCTTCTGTATGATAGTAAATCAAAAAGAAATTTAGATCGAACATCAAGGTGAAACTTTTCGCTATCAGTACTTAACCAGTTGAATTACCTGGTCAACTTTGTTTAGCTTCTCTTCGCAGGTTTTATTTACTGGGTTCCAATAACTTCCTTGACAAGCAGACTTAACTTCCTGCAATTAGCAGCATGTAAGAACTCGTGCTATGATGATTTACTTCTAATTTCTTCGAATTTAAAATTCAACTCACATCGGTTTTACACAGGATTAAACTATTGATATGGTGGTCATATGCCTATGTTACCTAATAGGAATGTCACAAACCTGAAACAAATCATTTGATATAAGACCCATTCCATGTGCAAATGGCACAAGAGCATCCCCATCGAATTGCTCATCCGTGCATCCATTTCCTATCATATAGCCCTGCCTCAAATATAGGCAAAGTTAAAAAAAGGAAATGGAAAAAAAACCCTCTATTCATTTGTCATAAAAGATTGACAATGAAATGTCCTGGTGGTTTACCTTGAACTTCAGTGCAGGCTTTACACAGGCGATTATTCCTATAGACGACAAGATCACGCGATGGAGCAGTTACTGAAATGATAACCGAATTACAGTATTGGAAGTGTCCCTCACAGGATCAACATACCGTTTGCAACTTCAGCCGCAAGCATAGGAATGTAAATTCCAGCATATGACTCACCACTAATGTAGAAAGGATTCTCGAGGAACTCCGGGTACAGTTCAAACCACTGATCCAACAATAATGCAAAAAAAAAAACAATGATGATTCTGACCCAGAAAAAGAGCGATACGCTTCAAACTAATTCTTTCTCATCTCACCTTCAAAAGGAACGTGTGTGTATCTTTAGCTGTCTTAAGATCTCCGGTAGTATAATCCGTTTCATCTTTCGAAAAACCCAACACCAGCAGGTGAATCCAAATAGATAATACTCGAAACCTACAAAATCAGATTCTCAAGGTTTTCAGCTCTGGTAGAAGTATTACTTTATAAGGAATTAGTTTGGTAAATTTATTAAGAAGAGTGTTTACGTTTGCGTGGACACATAACTTTTTCAGCTTGTAGCCGAGGTGGTTGCAGTCATTTAATTTAATGAGATTCTATCAGACTCATTGTTTTCAAAATAAAATTTTAACAGCCTATTCTGTTTATAAATTCTTAATAACAACATTCAACACTGTCCATATAAAACAGAGAGATTTTCGCCCTCTACCTTAGACCAACTGTAAGGATTGAGATGCAGCTTTGGCATTGAGCTAGCGGGTGCTTCTCCGGCCTCAAAATTGAATGGACCTGCACATAAACATAAATATAAAGATATTAAAACCCCAATTAACCAAACCAACATGGGTCTCTTTCCTCTCACAAGTTATATATATTGAGAAGGATTATAAAGAACCAACATGGGTCTCTTTCCTCTCACAAGTGTATATCACCTTGTCCCGGCCGGTGGCCTTCCAGAACCCTGCAGCCGTCGCACGGTTTGTTCGCGTGCCTGTCGGGTACTTCTTGTCCTTGTGACTAAAGAAGTACCAGTCGTTCTGAAGCGTCGAACCAATCTTACATTTATCTGTAACAAAAGAGGATCTAAATCAAGATAATATCCAGAAAAAAACGTAAGATAAATTACAAGAAACTTCGCTCATTTATAACCCATTTGTCAAAAAGATCTCTCATCAAAAAGGTTAAATTTGCATATCTTATCGTCAATAATCGTTAGTGAAACCGTTTATATATAACGGACTTTTGTTCTTCAGACATTTGGGCAGGGGCTTGCAAACACATGTTCAGCACAGATATCCGCACTTCAGAATTTGTCAAAGTAAAACATGTATAAACTGAAGTCACTATAGGTCAACAAGATCATAAATTCATCTATGTCACTATAGGTTAACAGTATGTTAATGTTGAATTAAAGCAGTAGAAGTCTATGTCCAATATCTACACGGAGGTTTGACTTGTGTCAAGGAAACAAAGACTATGGAACAGCTTATCATTTGGATAATTAATATAAACTGTGTGTTCAAACACACACGAGGTATAAATCACACAAAAAAGAAAAATAAGCTCTGCAGGGTCTGACCAAAATTTTGGTTACACATCTATGGAAAAATTATATAACATAGTACATTGGTTTTGCTAGACACCAAATATGAATATATTAGTTAATATTCAGTAAGCCGGCTTCCTCTGCTACGAAACCCCGTACAATGATCAAAACATACATCCAAAATCAATTGTAAATGTATATATGTTCATCAGCCTATCTATATCTTTCATCTGAATACACTTCATACCTGTTTCACTAGAAAACCTTAAATCCATCTCCTAAAAACTGCAACCCACAGAGAAATCTTAGTAATAGCCTTAGGATTCATTTATCCCTAGAAGAACATTTTAAGAGTGCAAGCATCAGAAATGATATTAATACCAAGTTTAAAGAGGAGTACAAATAGTAAATAGTCAATGACTTTCTTGAGCAAAACTGCAACCCAATCTTCATTTTATCATTTTGTTGTTCATTAGCCAAATTAAACATACTGACACTTTTACTACCTAAGCCCCACGCTACAGAGAAAAATCAGAATCTGGGTGCAATATATGTACAACAAACTGTAAATAGTTTGGACACTTTCTATTTGGCAATCACTAGAAAGTAATGAAAGACAATTATACATGCTTTGGTGTGGTAGTGTTTTCTGTATTCTCACCTTAAGATGACATGGATCCACAAGTTTTGGTGTGTAGATGTTTTCTAGTTTTGCCTTGTTTACTATTGACCAAGCTTCATGCATTGCTGCTATGCCAATTGTTAAATTATTCTGCAGAGACCTAGCCAGTGAACTCCCATTACCACCCATCAATCTTTTGGATCGTTGCTAACTATTTCTAGCATTATGAATGATTTATATCTTTGTAGATAACTGATCCGATCCGAATTAACGAGAGTAGCATGACGATGAGATTAGTAGCTCGAAGATGAGATCAGAGAGATTGGAGAGAATGGCAAACCCTAGAAAACGGGGACTAGCTCGACGACGAAACCAACGGCGACGAGATCGGAGAGATCGGAGAGGAGCTTGGAGATGAGATCCGATCCGAAAACAGCGACGAGATCTTGGCCACGACGATTTTAGGGATCGGAAAATTTTGGAGACGATTTTAGGGATTTTAGGGATTTCATTTGAGAGAGAGAGAGAGAGGTTTGGTTGCGGTCAGACGGGCTTTACAAACTCAACTCCTAAACCCACTAACAAATATTAAGCCCATGAACAATTATTTGGCCTATGGCAACGTTTTTCATTAAATGTTGTATTAGTTACTGTAAACCGTTACGATAGATATCTAACGCAACTGTTAGAACCGTTGCGCCTTAACCGCTGCAATAGATCAATTATGTGGTAGTCATCATTTCTGTACCTGTGTAAATTTCCATGAATCAGCATAATTTTTGCAATGATGATAATAAAATTGGGGAAAAAAGATGTTTGAAAAGGAAGTTAAGAGAACAATGTACATCATGCTTGTTTGTTGCCACAACCAAATCCAACCATTTTAACAAAAAAGGCTAAAGTTATCAATGGCATCTAATCACAGCCATATTCGTCACCCTTATCCATAATCCCAACAGGGAATGAGCGAAGGGGGTCTTTTTTAAGTCACTTAAACATTATTCGGACAAAGCGGCGATAAACCAGTTTAGTTGCAGGTGACTGCTACATATGGAGTTGTTGCGTATCGAGATTCCTATTAGACCCGTCAATTGTCGTAAGTTGTTTCAAATTTGTCATTTGAATTGCAATTCTACTCTTTATTTAAACAACTAATTTCAAAATAACTTAAGTATCAAAGGCCATATTAGCAATTTCAATTATTTGAGGGACCAATTTCAAATAGCTTAAAAAAGGGACCAAATAGCAATTAAATAATTTGAAGGGCTAATTTCAAATAGTTTGCATATGATACAAAAATTGATAAATATATCTGGGAGCAGAAACAATACCGATTCAATGGCATAGCAAGGGACCATCAAGATAACACCAACCAGAAACTTCTGCTCCTGTAATTTCACAGACAAAAAAAACAAAATTAAAAAAAATCCAAATCAAGCTCAAAATAACAACGAAGATGACCGATGACGATGACCGATGACGATGACGATGAAGAGAAGCAAAACCTTAGGATTCTTGTAAGCGGAGAGGTGTTGAAACAAGAGGTGCGTGGATAGCGACATCAAGACTACTACAAAAACTCCAGTGATTGCCGTCGCCCATTGCGGCTGCGAGTAAGCGGCAAGGAACGGATATAGAGAATCCCCCTCATGTAACCATTTGTATAGTTAGATGCTCCCAAACATGTACAGCTTGTGATATCTTGTGTATCGTTAGATGCTCCCAAACATGTAACCATTTGTATATTTCACATAATAAATGTACTGCATGTATACAAAAAGCACTGGGCATGCACATATAAGTTGGGCCATTGGTGATCTAGATTATCAGGTGTTCGGATGAGTTCGATGTTGGGCATCTGTGCATGTTTATCTGCTGGGGAGAAAGATCCTTGGTAATAAATGTATGAGTTTACAAGTACAAAGCTAATGCGATAGCATGAAATAGCATGAAATAATAAAATTGGGGAAAAAAAGATATTGCAATCATTCAAAATAAATAGCTTAACATAAAGGAAATAATCCACCTGCATCAAAACCTTCCATTTGAGTAAAATAGGTGGCTACAGATTGCTAAGGGTCTCCATCAAACAAGCCCTTTTTCTTTTTATTCAAATGACAATTCCTGCATGGAAGTAAGGGACTTTCATTAACATTTTTTGAACTACAAATAACCATTTTCTGCAAAAGATTTGACAAAAAAATATCAACAAAAATAAAATGTCATTATGGTTAAACATCATATCTACATACATGTTATGCAATCAAATATTTTGTGCCACAATTTAATCAAAAATTCCAGCTTACTCGTAGCAGCTTAACAAGACCCTGAATCCATCAAAACTAATTAATAATACTTCAAACAGATTTGACCAATCTCATATTATTCAAACGCGTTAACATAGCCTCCGTCTAATTTGGAAACTTGCAAGAAATAACAAACTGAATTCAAAATTAAGCAACCAATAGTATTTGATCTTATGATTTAGTTGTCTTATCTAGCACTCCATTGCTGACCTGGCTCTGTCAAGCACACCTGGTAACCAAAGAGACCTCAATATTGAAACTTTAATACTACATCTCTAGGGAACAATAAAAGAGAAGATGTTAGTATTTCATGGTTTGGACAGCTCCAAAGACTTCCAGACTACCTGCCTCCTATGTAAAATACAAGAAACAAAAACCCTGTAAGCATTTTGCGGCTTAGTCTGAATATAGACTGTGTGTGCATTTTGTGGAACTTGTGGATGAGCTAGGGTACATTTGACAGAATAGCGAGTTCATCTAAATTGATCTTGAAAAAATTAACCATATAAATGTTAAATACAATACAAATAACTTGAAAGAATGCATGTCAGCTATTGCTCAGGGCTTGCGGATATAGCTCAGCTGGTCCTTTGTTATATGAATCAATGACTCGGAAATGGCTTTGCACATCAGCTTCCAGACTACCTGCCTCACAAATTCGAATCCAACCAAACAATGAAAGGAACTCCCTAGCCACTCATGAAGGCTGGGAGCTCTCCACTTTATTCATTTATAAAAGGAAAGAGAAGAATAATAAAATTGGAAACGTGACAATAGTAAAATGAATATTTTGGGGTTAATTGTGGATAGACCCTTTGTATTATCATAGAGCGATAAGAAAGCAACGAGGAAAAAGAAGAAGTAACTGAAACGAGTCAAGAAAAAACTATAGAAACCAGTTCAAGAGCTAAGAAGGCTAAGAAATGTCGAAGTGTAAAAGGTACTTGCCTCTTCATGATCCAGAACACTAGCAGCCTCTTCAGGAAGTTTAGTACGCGCTTTAAACCTGTCAACAAAGCTTGGACAAACTGGACGTCCAGTTACTTCACTCAACATATCTGCAAATGTTTGAATCATACTTGTAGCTTGAGCTTCTTCCAGTTACTTCACTCAACATATCTGCAAATGTTTGAATCATACTTGTAGCTTGAGCTTCTTGTTGTCTCTTCATCTCCTCTTGTTGAGTGATCTGCAAATGTTTGAATCATACTTGTAGCTTGAGCTTCTTGTTGTCTCTTCATCTCCTCTTGTTGAGTAGCCACCACCTTCTTTGTTATTGCTTGAACAATTGACTCAGGGATTTGATCTGTCACGACCCCAATTTCCGAACCTCAAAGGAATATTAGAGCCGGACTAAACCTGTGAAAAGTCCTCCAAAATATACATTCATTAAAAGAATACTAAAACAAATCTCTTCATTGAACTAAAACCAACAACAAATATTCTCTATAATCCCAAAAGTCAACTAAGCCAATTAACTTGATAAAAATAAATATTCCTCAACTCCAAATAAATCTCAACCTAAAGAAAGAATCTCATTATTACAAACTCTCAATTCATCATCTAAACATTAAAGACTATATTTAACCTTCGCCTAGAAGACAATAACAATCTCGAATTATTTTTTGCTTCGTTCTAAGAATTTGACAATCCTCAATTCCACCTAATCCCGAGTCTCTGAAAAGAATAGAAATAACACAATGAGTTCACAACTCAATAAGTGGATAAATTCATACATTAAACACTGGTTTTGCAAAACTAAAATATTACAACGAGAAATAAACAAAATATAAGAATGATATAGAATCATTAATGAACTCTAGTATTTGATACAAATATTTAAGAAAATTAGAAATCATGGAATAGAAATAAGCATGCTACGTCTCAATGCGGTCAACACTTCATACTCCGGTTGACTCGGTAAACCCCACAATTATTAAGCCCGTGGTTCCGGGACGGTGAGACCCAATTTGGGCTCTTAGCGCTAAAATAAAACCTCATAGAGGCACATTGAGTCCTGTTTTAATAGCTTGCTTATATCCGACATATACCGGTATATTGACTTGAGATGCATATGCTTTAACAATAAACAAAGTTCGTAAAGCTAATCACATTATACAAAAATGCCAAAGGCCAACCAATAGTGAAATAAATCAAACACATATGCATCTTCGAAGTCCCTTGGGATTCCTACATAATATTTACAAATAACTATCAAAATTACTGTATAACCTAAGACCCGAATACCTATTAAAATAATCTCAAGATCTACTAACTAAAAGAAAAGACAATTATCATACTAGATCAGATACTAGTTCTATAAGCGTCTCATGGATCTGACTGACAATTCAAAATGTGCTTGATTCTATTTGAGTTAATATTATTTTCTAGGTTTTAATACGTAAGACAAAGCAACAACAAAATGTGCTTGATTCTATTTGAGTTAATATTATTTTCTAGGTTTTAATACGTAAGACAAAGCAACAAGAGTATTTACCAATTGAAGTTGAAAAGATCACCTCGACCACAAAAGAAGAGTGATGGAGAACACGGAATCGACTACCAAAGAGTATTAGCAACCCACTTCTCCAAAGTTAGCCGCTCTAATAATATAATCTTTTTTTTTGTCGGCTACTATTTCAGAAGGTAGGACGCTAGGGTTCCACCTCCTCTTATATTAGTTTTCCACTTTCAATAAACCCCATATTAAACTTCCTTTCACAACTAGCCCCTTAAAAACTTATATATAAGCACTATTAATAGAAACATAAAAGCCCTCATGTAATATCATATTTATAAATTAGTATAGCCAACTCAATTGTTTGGATATTTAATAAAACAATTTATAAAACTAGACCTATTATCAATAAAAATTAGGGATATTACATACTTTATCCCTCAAAAGAAGTTTTGTCCTCAAAACTTGAACATATGCAGGTCCTCAAATATACACAAATATTTCTCTTGATTACATTTTTGCTCTTCTAAACTATTTCTTCGACTAAAAAGAAATTATTTTTGTACTCTTATAAAACCCACTTTTAAATTCCATTTATATAACCTACGACAATTATTCTCTCATTTTCATACAAACATCAAATGAGGCTAAAGTAATCCAACAAACTTCTAATACTCAATCTTTACTTGTAGACATTCTAAACATAAACACAGGAACTCTATAATCCCGATTTCATGTATTCTACCAAAATAAATTTCACAACTCTACATAGTTTCTTACTTCTATGCTAAAATATATCTAGAACAATGTATCACTTCCAATACTTTTCTCTTCAAATTCAAATCATTAAGGACAAATTCAGATCATGATTTCAAAATCTCATTGCAAAGAACATAGTTCATATGAAGAATATTTTCTATCTATCACTTGATCATAATTTCAAAATCACATTGCAAAGATCATAGTTCATATGAAGAATCTTTTCTATATATCACTTGATTTCTTTAAACCAATAAAAGATATGTACTCTTTGTAACCATAAAACTTCATCAAAGAAGACTGAATCTTGAAAAACAATTCTTGGTCGGTGAATTTGAATTTCTTCATGTTCTCCAATATATGAATACACTTAGTGATCAAAATAGTAACTCCTAAGATGACTTTCTATTTAAGACCTCAACCAGTACATTCGTCTTTCTATGATAATAATAGATATTAAAATCAAAACTCTATCCAGTTTCTTTCCATCATATTTCTCATATTGATATTGTCTCGTAATCTCTAATAAAATCAAGATGGAAAACTCCAATTTATGTGGGTAATTCTGGTCACAAGACATAAGCTATCTTCTCGATTGTCTTTTTTTTTGCATAATAACACATCGATTATCAACAAGAGAAGCTTGATTATATGAATGCATTCAACTAAAAGAATTTACGAAATTTGGTATGAGTACGAATTGACTATAAGCATTTTCTATTCATATTTATTTCCCCAATAACTTATCTTCTCAATATACATCAAGATATCACAAGCTACTAGAAAAGAAATCAAAGGCACAACTTCATAAAAATTTATAAGAATTTCCCTGTGGTGAAAAATGTATCCAGAAAACCAAATTATGTGCATTAGACCATAGCTGAACCATTGGCAGCGTTGTTATATACTCTATTGTGGAGAAAAGTAAGTAGTGAAGCTAGTAACTGATCCAACTAGGAAGGAATATATATACTGTAATAATATATTTTAACATCTAACTATAAATCCAAGTGATCTGGTATCCATACTTGTACACTATAATCTATGTATACATGAGAAACTAGAAGAATACTCTTCAACCAAAACTCGCCCTTCTTCAATCCTACAGATAATTTTTCCTCTACCAAATAATTCTTGAGCGTCCTTTATACTTTTCTTAACTATTGAAGTAATCTAATACATCATTAATAACAAATCTATTAATAGATTTAGATAAATCTTGAATGTTAACTCCTCAAGTCCATGAAGGCAATCAGTACATTTGTCAATCCAGATATAATCATCATCAGAATAAATGACTTTAGCACCACAAAATAGTCACTTTCATTTCAACTGAGTTGAGCAGTATTGCAACTATAGTTTTGATAGATGATATGTCATAACACTAGATCAATTATCTTCTATCATCGAGTTACTTTGCATTCAAATAATTTATCCTTCATTTTAATCCATTCTCCAAATGAATTCAAGTCCAAATACTAATATATATTCATAGCCACATATTTCACCATGCCTTACGCTACCCACAAATGAATATGTAATTCCAACAAAAGTCAATACTAAAGACACCCATACATCCAACATTTCTGAAGTATATAGCTCCAAATTCCAAATTTGATTCTACATGTAGAATGTTTATAATAATTTGATCAAATAATTTAGAGCACTATTCATAATTGTAGGCATATAAAATTGCTTATAGGTCCCTTAGCTCAGCTCGGCACAAACCGACGAACCAACGAGGCGACGAGATCGACGAATCGCATCAAGCGACGGAATGCATCCATACACGTGCGGGATCAAGCCAAGTGTTCGAAGAGTCAACGAGTCATCCAACCAAAGGCATACTCGGACGAATGACGATCGAATCAAGATCGGTTTCGGACTCCAACTCAGAAGCGGATTTACTGCCTAATCGGGATCCGAATTTACTGCCAAATCAGATCATCAAATCAGAGACTAAGTTAATCAAATCACGGACAGAACCAAAGGCGGAAAACACCAAAAACCACCACCTAGAGGGGCTCGGCCGAAGCCGAGCCAACTTCAGGTGGCTCGGCCCAAGCCGAGCCACCTCAAGGTGGCTCGGCCAAGGCCGAGCCACCAGGCGAGCTCATCTCTTTGAGCCAGGTTCCCAGTTTCGGCGAACCGCTCAAATCAGGCGAGCTTAACAGTTGAGGCGAGCTCATCTCTTTGAGCCAGGTTCCCAGTTTCGGCGAACCGCTCAAATCAGGCGAGCTTAACAGTTGAGGCGAGCTCATCTCTTTGAGCCAGGTTCCCAGTTTCGGCGAACCGCTCAAATCAGGCGAGCTTAACAGTTGAGGCGAGCTCATCTCTTTGAGCCAGGTTCCCAGTTTCGGCGAACCGCTCAAATCAGGCGAGCTTAACAGTTGAGGCGAGCTCATCTCTTTGAGCCAGGTTCCCAGTTTCGGCGAACCGCTCAAATCAGGCGAGCTTAACAGTTGAGGCGAGCTCATCTCTTTGAGCCAGGTTCCCAGTTTCGGCGAACCGCTCAAATCAGGCGAGCTTAACAGTTGAGGCGAGCTCATCTCTTTGAGCCAGGTTCCCAGTTTCGGCGAACCGCTCAAATCAGGCGAGCTTAACAGTTGAGGCGAGCTCATCTCTTTGAGCCAGGTTCCCAGTTTCGGCGAACCGCTCAAATCAGGCGAGCTTAACAGTTGAGGCGAGCTCATCTCTTTGAGCCAGGTTCCCAGTTTCGGCGAAC